GGGGGAGAGGGGGCAGGGGCAACATACATAACCTAAACATCTGTACCCCCATAATATGCTGAAATAAAAAAAAATCACCTTGAAGGGCATGGGCTAGTGCTCTTAGTTGCCCCCTTTAGTTGAGGGTCATTCCTCAGGGGTGTTAACTCCATTCACTGGCCCCTTGAGGTGGGATGGAACTGACCCCCCAGCTGCAGCTAAAGTCGGAGGTGGACACAGGTGCGCCAGTAACCTCTGTTGCACTCTTCTGTGTAGGACAAAAGAAACCTTAAGCCTTGAAATGTCTTACCTGTATAAGACATTTAAATCATCTTTATCCTTGTAATTATTTATGTGTTATAGCCATAAAATACTGCAATTCTCCAAAGCAAAATAAGCACTGATGCATGCTGATTCGTTAGTTATAGTCCCTAAGTTCCCACAGGGTTCAATACCAGAAAGGGAAAAGCAAATATTTCTCCAGATTGGGTCGCGTGAGTACTCAAAATGATCACGTTTACCAACTACACAGCCTTGCACATAGTAGGTGCTCAGTAAACGATGGCTGAATTTTTTAAAAATGTAAAACTAATGGGACCTTGCATAGCATCTTAATCTGCAGGGAAAGGGAAACAGATGCCTGCAGAAATGGGCTGTCCAAGCTTGTGCACTTCATTAGAACCACAATCCAGTCTTGAACACGGTTCTCCAGACCTAGGCTCTGTTGCCCAGTTCAAGTTCTTTTCAGGAAGACTCCCAGGCACTTCACACGGTTCCATCCCAGACCCTGTGAGATTATGATCTTCAGCTTCTTGCAGCGCAGTTTCTCTCTTAGCCAAGGACTTGTCTCTTTGTTTTTCAAGCCTCACAGAGCGTACCTTGTCGTCCTGTCGGGTGTTGCGTGGCTCAGCCTCCCATCGAAGGGTGTTAAAAGAGAGCAGAGCCTCATGGTTTCTAGGCCGCATCAAGAAATGAAAGTGGTAACCATCCTTTTCTTGGGGTAGCGCTACAGTGAATGAGTAGTGAGGGCAGTACTGCTAATGCCTAGAAAAATAAAAATAAAAAAAAGAAATGAAAGCGGTGGCTGTAGGGGCTGGGTGTCTTCGGCAAGAAGAGATAGCAAGTGCTTTCTGATTCATCTCTGCATCCCCCAGCACACAGCCTGGGGCGTCTTTGTAGTGGATACTCCGAAAGTATTTGTTGAATGAATGAATGAATGGTTATCTGTATAGACCAAAGGATAGCACGTTAAAAACCAAGTGTGAAATTCTGAACAATAGCCTTGGGAGGGCTCACGTGCCCTTTGCTTTTCCAGGAGCATTTACAACGCGGCTGTTTGGTACTATCACCACTGCCAGGACAGGATGCCGATCGTTATGGTGACAGAAGATGAAGAGGCAATTCAGCAGTACGGAAGTGAAACGGAGGGAGTGTTTGTGATTTCTTTCAAGGTATTTCCAGCTGCTGTGTGTATAAGCGTGTGAGTGCGTGTCTGTCTTCATTTCCTAAGTCATGCCTGTAGGCTCTAGATCCTTTCGGTGACACAGAAAAGAGAAAATAAAGAAGGAAGGAGGGCCGGGCGCGGGGCTCACGCCTGTAATCCTAGCACTCTGGGAGGCCGAGGCGGGTGGATCGCTCAAGGTCAGGAGTTCGAGACCAGCCTGAGCAAGAGCGAGAC